CCCTGAGTTTCAAAACCAAAGTAATTTGAACTAAGGAGATTCCATTTTTTTCAGTGATTGCAGTTGTATCTGTAAGGTATGGTTTAAAAAAAAACCATTCAGATGATGGTTACAACAGTGCAGTCAAAACTACACATGGATTTTGTGCGCAGTACTGTTGCGTCCACTTCAACTTTTTCCTTGACTGTACTCTGCAGATGCTCTCGAGTGAATGAAATGTATCATGTGTGCATTTGAAGGACAAACACAGAGGTTTTGTGAGGAAGGAGCAAGATTTATAAATAAATGATGTGTTCTTAAAGTTTGTCTACATAATTGTGACAGTCAGTCTAATATCGTATGGTGATAGAAAAACATTACAAGCCAAAGGATCTGTCCAAGACAAAATTCAAAAGTTTTAACTTTTTGACAGAATTTCAGAATATATAATGGCATTATATAATATTACAGATTGAGTTAACATATGATACTTTTAGGTTCACTGGGCTTCAAGGAAACTTTTCATGAATCACTCCCTTGAAGAGCTTTTAACAAAACAGTATGTCCTTCCTAGTTTCCAGCAGTAAAGATAAGAGATCATGCTTTCCTCTACTCTGGAACCCGATTCAGGTCCCTCATACTGTACATCTTGTGCTAGAAACCCATTCTACATAGGCCTCCCTTTGTCAACATGATAAATAAGATGGCTTTTCTCTTTGGTTAAGTAAAACATCCCATCTTCAAATCTCAAATCTCTTCACTGAAGAAAATCCACATTGTTTCTCAGAAGTTGTAAACCATTTTTCATATATTATAATCAAGGCTAACTTCTTAATCTAGTAGTGAGCTAGAATCAGGGGCGCTGTAACAACTGGTTCAGTGAGGGCACGCCTCCCGAGATTCATTTTTTCTGGCAGAGGGTTGCAGGAAGCCGTTGCAGCCAAAAACAGAGCTTGGGAGCCCTTTTTCGCTGGCAGAATGCTCGGACTGCCACAGGCACTCCTGACATGAGTGATGTTGAGCTGGCCATGCTCACCCTGGCTATGCCCGCCAGCCCCCAAGGTCAAACACAACCCTCATGTGGCCCTCAATGAAATCAAGTTTGACACCCCCTAATCTAGAACAAATCTGGAGATGGATAAGCCTGAAAAAAGTGGCTAGCCTCAAGCCAGTCACTAAACTGAAATCAAACCACATGTAAAGTATGCAGTTTCAGAATCCAACAAGAACGTCAGGTAGGGAATTGATAAGAGATAAAAGTACACATGCACACACACAAATGTATACACATGCATACATGCATATACATATACCACATTTTTGCCCTGTGTCCAATACAAATGGAAGAACTATTATATATTTTTATTTATGATGATAAAAGATAAAATTCTGGAAACTTAGGTTGTTCAATTTGAATCAATGATTTCCTATTTCCTATTTTCTTATTTCCTATTTCTGTCTTGTTCATTTCACTAGCTCAGGATCTTATTTTGCTAGGGAGAAATGGCATATTTTCTCCCCGATAGCTAATGGAAACAAAAGCTCCTCTGGTACACAGATTAGTTGGCCTAACATCACATACTCAAACCGCTTAGTGATTTAATCTATTTTCCAGATTTGCAAAATGCACTGAATCATAAACTAACCAAACCACTTTCTGGATTAACACAACATAAGCCACATCACAGTAAGCCAGGCTAACCCTTTCCAGATTAACAAGGGGGAGCAAGTGGTGTGAATAAAGTTGTTAAATGACTTGATTAAATGCGCAGTGTAAAGTGAGCCAGTGCATATATTATACCAAAAGCAGACATAAAAATTTCTGAATATATATAATGTAGGTTGACATAGTGAAAAATGTAAGGCAAACATTAAATTTAACCACCACATTCCCCCCAGCATAACAATTCACACATTCAACAGGGCTAAGTGACAGAAATAGGACATCCACAAAGGGATTTCTAAAAAGGTCAGGATGTATCAGATGTACGCAACCAGAACCACTTGTGAATAGTCTTAAGCAGCAGCTTCATTGTTAGTCACTTATGTTACAAGAATCTCTCCAGACTAACTGCATTCCCTGAAAAATTGGTCAGATAATACTTCAGGGATTCTTGGGTGAACTTTCAGTGATGCAAGGATTCTAAGCTAAGTCCTTTTTTAACACTTCCCTCCAGTCTAGCTAGAGATTCCACCACAAGATGGTGATCACAACCATGTGACTAAATTCCTGCTCTTTTGTACATCTGTGCAATACTCTTCTTTGTACAAAACAAGAAGGGCTTCAGTTTACCTTGAACTTCACAAAAGTTGCAAGATAAGCATCCTAAGCAAAGGCTTCATTTAATGCTACGAAGTATTATTTTTCAATGACCAACTTTTTTTTTATTCCATAGTTGAATAATTTAAACAAGTTGACCTATGCCAAATTCAGCAATCTGTAATTTAGTCTCAGAAACATTTATATTAAAAAAAACAGTGAGAGGATTTATTCTCACACAGCCAGGAAGAAGCAAGATGACAGCAAAGCTGAAGATTATAAAAACAAAGGACAAAGAAAAACAAACCAGCGAATAAACCACTGTGTAGGTAGGTAGACAGGAAAACAAACTGCAAGACAGTTTTTGTAAAATAGTGTGTGTTTTTGAATCACAGTAGTTGCTGAAATCTTTGATGATGGCTTCCTACTTTATTCAATAAAGATTATTTATCTGTAGTCCCCGAGTTTCTTCTGAATAGGCCTAAGGGATTTATTTCTACCTGTGAAATGAAACTTTATATCTAGAGATATTGCTATGAAGATTCACTCAGCAATGTTCAATAAATCTTGGCACTGTTTAATCAATGCATTCCTTACCCAACCTATTGTTGAGTGGCTATATTCACAAACACACTTAACCTGATCACTGAATAAATAAATCCATTCCTGAAATTGCACAACACATTTTAGCACTATAGCTAAGCAAATAGGATAAGTTTGCACAGCGCACTTGAAAAAGATACATCTTCCAAGTTAACACTAATCAAAACAATATTGTGTGGATGTTCCAAGCAGATCTTTAATGGACCTGGTTAAATGCATTTTTGTAAACACAGCCTAATTTCCTCCATAAAAGACCAACATTATCTTTGCAAAATGTACTTCTGGAAGAAGAACAATTATCAAACAATAAAATGCAAAAATGCAAAAATGCAAAAAGCCAATAAATAAGCCATTAAGTCGAGATATTCAATGCCAAATAAATTGATAGAACTCATTTTCCTATATACTGTATACAGTGATGCTTAGAAGTTTGTGAATCCTTTTGAATTTTCAATGTTTTGCAAGTGGGATAAGGGTCTTATGCTGGAATACAGTGTTTGCTTTTTGCCAAGCATAACACTTCTGATCCAATGCAAAATGTTCTATTTTGGTCTCATTGGTTCACAGAACATTGTTCCAATATTCTTCTGGTATATTTACATGATCTTTTGGAAATCATAGATGAGACACAATCTTCTTTTTGGAAAACAATGGCAACTGGCCCTTCAGACTATTGTTGTTCAGTATCCTACTAATGGTGGTCTCATGAATACTGACATTTGCCAATGTAAGAGAAGCCTTAAGCTTTTCCTTATATTACTTTTCTTTGAGACCTCCTAGATTATTATATGTCTTGCTCTGGTATGGTTACATTCACTCAGTCCTGGGAATGGGAGTCTAATAATGTATTGAATTGTCTCCATTTGTTTACAATTATGCCAGACAGTGAACTGGTGGAATGCTTTGGATATACTTGTGTAATCTACTTCATTTGAATCATAACACAGTTTCACAAACTTGGGTTGCGAAAACCAAACTTTGATCATGAATATCCAAAATTGTGTTCGGTGGCTCAGTGGCTAAGATGCTGAGCTTGTCTATCAGAACAGTCACAGTTTGGCAGTTAGAATCCCTAGCACCATGTAATTGAGTGAGCTCCCATTACTTGTCTCAGCTTCTGCCAACCTAGCACTTTGAAAGCATGTAAAAATGCAAGTAGAAAAATAGGGACCACTTTGGTGGGAAGGTAACAACGTTCCATACGCCTTCAGCATTTAATCATGCTGGCCACATGACCACAGAGACATCTTCTGACAGGGCTGGCTCTTTGGCTTTGTAATGGAGATAAGCACCACCCCCTACAGCTGGAAATGAATAGCACGTATGTGCGAGGGGAACTTTTACCTTTACCTTTAAACAAGGCAGGATCTTCGATACTCACACCTGTTCATTATTCCATTGATTGTAACACCTGACTCTAATTTCCCCTTCAAATGAAGTGATAATCCTAGAGATTTACATACTTTTATCATACAGAAATATGTAGCTTTGATTAGTTTCTTCAATAAATAAATGTGCAAATAAAATATTTTTGGTTCATTTGTTTAATTGGGCTCCCTTTATCTACTTTTAGGACTCGTGAAGAGAGCAGATCATGCTTTAAGTCATCTTTATGCAGAAATATTGAAAATTCAAAAAGATTCACAAACTTCGACAACACCTAAAGATATTCAGCAGGTCATTTCTATTGATGTATATTTTCACAATGTGAAAAATACCTTGCTGAAGAAGATGAAACATTATGAATCATCCAATTCATGATAAACATATGGTAGTCATAAGTCATCTTACACTGGTGATCATTTCTGTCCACGGATTTGGTTATAAATTTTGAAATTACCCTTAAGCTACGATTTAAAAAGTGATGAGAAAAAGAAGATACATCCCTCAGTGAAAGAGACATATTATCAGACTTTGGACCCAACGTGGCTGTTAAGTCTTGCTTCTCCCCATTCTGAATCCCTTATTTTTGGCAGAAGATTCATACTCCAATCTACCTGCTAGAGGTGTTGCTGAAGGGATAAAATGAAAAATATCTCCATAGAGGTATTTTTCCTTGATCCCCTATAGAACAAGTGAAAGATAAATACAGTAATAAATAAAAACAAGATATTTTTGACAGCATCATCCAACTAAAAAGCAGAAATATAGCATTTACCTGAAAATGTGTGCAAGATCTTTTGCTTCGATACCTTTAAGAATATCCTGAATGATGGCAGGTTTACTGGCTTCTGAAGATGTTGGTAAAGGTGGGCATTGTGCATGTCCATAGTAGCCTATCAAAAACCCCAAAATAAATAAACTCGTAGCAGTGCAAAATAGCTTAAATATCCAGCAAAAGCTGCAGCAATTGTTCTTTGGTGGGTGCTGTGTCCGGTGAGAAATATAATCCAGATCTTCCTGGAGTCTTTCAAATCTTCCTTTGGGAGATGCTGATGGTTGAATAGACTCCAAGTCAGCATTTTGACTACTCTCAGTTGGTTGGTGGACTGCTCTATCCAAAGTAAAATGGTCAAAGCTCAGCTCCTCCAGTTCTTTCTCCATGTCCCATTCTAACTCCAGGGAAGTGGCTTGAAGGTCTTCGCTATCTAAATACTGTGCATTCTGATCTCCATGGACTTTTTGGTAAGCCATCCTTTTACCTGTTGCATTAAATATGTATAATTATAAAGTCTGCAAACTAGGATGAAAGCTTAAAGAAGCAAGATATATTCAGCCTTGAGAAGAAAAGACCAAGGAAGAAAAATAGGGTAGCCATGTTCAAATGCCTGGAAAAAAAAATGACATACCAAGGTCAAAACAGGACACATAATAATATTTTTTTTAAAATACACTAAAAGAAGGCAGATTTTAGTTGGGATTAAAAAAAAACTTCCTAACTAAAAGAGCAATTCATTTATTCATCAGCCACCAATTTTACAAACATGCCTTTAGGTAGCATCCAATAAAACTAGTTAAAACAAATAAACATATTAAAAATAAATATATTAAATAAATAAATTACATACATACATAAAAATAAATATAAATAAATAAATTACAGGAATTGAGTATATCTAGGATTAGGGGAGATACGATAGCAGTGTCCAATATTTGACCTATAAAGATGAGAGTAGAGGTGTATTCAGCAGGTTCTAACCAGTTCTGGAGAACTGGTAGCGGAAATTTTGAGTAGTTCAGAGAACCAGCAAATACCACCTCTGATTAGCCTTTCCCCCATCTATTCTCTGCCTCCCTAGTCCCAGCTGATTGGCTGGGTCTTCTTTTGTTGCCCTGCACAGGAGAACAGAGCTGGAAAGCAGGTTAGTGGGTTGGGGAGGGAATGGAGATTTTGTAGTATTCTTCCCCTGGAGTGAGGTGGGAATGGAGATTTTACAGTATCCTTCCCCTGCCACGTTCACCGAGCCACGCCATGCCCACCAAGCCACGCCCACAGAACTGGTAGTAAATTTTTTTGAATCCCACCACTAGATGAGAGGATCAACTTATTTTCCAAAGCACCAGAAAGCAAGATAAGAAACAGTGTATGGAAACTAACCAAGGAGAGAAGCAACCTATAACTAAGAACATTCCTAATGCTTAGCACAATCAACCAATGGAATAAGCTTGCCTTTAGAAGTTGTGGGTGCTCCATCACTGGAGACATTCAAAAAGAGACTGGACAACCATTTGTCTGAAATGGTATAGGGTCTCCTGCTTGAGCAGAGGGTTGGACTAGAAGACCTCCAAGGTCCCTTCCAACTCTGTTATTCTATGTGCTAAATATTAATACAATTGATATGGTTAACATAAAATTTATAAAATTATAAATATATAAAGACAAATGAATGAGACAAATAGAAGTAAGTTAAATGGAGGGATTTGTGTAGGTGGATGTGTTAAAACAGAATATTTGTGTAATCAATTGTTGGGATTATAATAATTTGGATTCCCAAAAGCGGCAGTCTTTAGCATGGATGGCCAAAATGGCTATTCCTACTCTAAGATTCTAAATGACATGTTTCCTTTCATATCTGAGTCATTTCTGGAAGCAAAATGGGTGGAATAAAATTAATAAATAAATAAAACACTGGAAGATGAATATAACCCTTTTTAAAATAATCCTTAATATGCTGGTAGAATATAAGCACCACCATTTGCTAATTCAGATATCAACCAGTTCACTTCTGCTATTATTGTGACCAATAATGTAATTCCACCTATTTTTCTTATTTACTGACCTAACCAACCATTTTTTTTTCTTTCCTTCCTTCTTGGTCCATTTCCTTATGTCTCACATGCTTTACATTGTGAGCGTGTTAGTTAAAAGAGAAATATTCCTTTGAAATGAACTTTATTTCTTATGACTAACTGAAGATATCCATATATATTCATAAAAAAGCAGGAGGAGGAGGAGGAGGAGGAGGAGGAGGAGGAGGAGGAGGAGGAGGAGTATTGTACTGGTAAAAATAAATAATCTTATTAAGTAATCTACAAAGTGAGAAATACTGTCTTATGATAGAAATTTAAGAATGATATTCCTTTATCTCCAATTCCTCAATAAAATGCTGTCTTCTGGATATAGTTTTATTTTTATTTTTGTAATCTGTATATGAACATATGGTTCTTCCTGAATCATCAGTACACTTGAAATTTATTCTACAGATCTGATTGGGGGAAGTCATACTTTTTCCTCTTCTTTCCTCTCCCTCCTATTTTAGATGTATCAGAATCATGTCTCAGCTGATATTCTTTCCAAAAATGGCTTCTATAATGACAAAGTGGAAGGGGTGGCCATTTTAGCCCCTTTCTATCTGAACAGACATGCCCTTAAAGTAGAACCCTGACCTCTAATCTAAACATTTAAAATAAATTCTCAAGAAATTGTTTTCTAAACTGACTTCAGGAGTGAGACTTCATTCTCGTTCATAGTTTTGACTATAGAGATTCCATCACATAAGCAGTTGGCAATTTAATGCTTTTCAAGCAGCAGACAGACCCGTCAATTAGAATGTAATGCAGATACAGATATTAACTCCTCAAAGTGACGCTTATCTGAATGACACCTGCAACACACTGTCTCCCTCTCTTTCTTGTAACCTAGTAATACGTTTTATCTAAGATCCATCTTCCAGGTAGCTTCATGAATTGGGTAAACTTAGTTAGATGCCAGCAGCAGAGAAAGGGGGGGAGTAAACTCTTCTTCAAACAGGGGAGAAAAAGATTACACAGCATATCAAAAAATAAACACTAACCAAAATGAAGGTGGAAAAAAGCACCCAAAACTGTCTCAATGCATAGCACCTAATTGGACAATCCTAATTCTTTACAGTGAAGTCAGTATTTCAAAATCTGTCTCCTAAACCACACAAACACACATACGCAACAACTGAACAGATCTACAGATTTGCCACCAGCAGGATACTTATTGTTTTAGATCTAAACTGGTTTACAGTATTGCAGGCAGATTGTGCTCACAGCTTGGAGTTCAGTCCTGATGGTTTCAAGGTTGACTCAGCCTTCAATACTTCCAAGATCAGTGAAATGAGGTTCCAATTTGTTGGAGGCAATATGCAAATAATGCTTACATTCAGTGGTGGGATTCAAATAATTTAACAACCCGTTCTCTGCCCTAATGATTTCTTCCAACAACCAGTTCCCCAAACTGCTCAAAAAGTTAACAACCACTTCTCCCAAAGTGGTGTGAACTGGCTGAATCCCTTCACTGCTTACATTGTAAACTGCCGAGAGAGATGTAAAGCATAATGGAGCAGTATGTAAGCCTAAACAGTTGGTATTACTATATTCTCAATTTTATATAATTCCCTAATGTTGGGGTTTTCTATTCTCTTCGCGCAGATCTTGTTTTTGAACATTTTTCACTTTCACTGAGAGTGATTCTTGGTAGTTTAGGTTTTGCCATTCTTTCAAGCTTTTTGTCATTGTTAGATTGATTTTTTGAATTTGTTCTTTGTTTAATGTATATGACTGTAAACTGGTCTGGGACCTCTTTAAAGTTGAATTTATGAAAAAAAAAGTCTTACTACTTCCCAATGTTGCAGTCTGTGCATGCTTAAGAGTGCATGCTATAGTAAATACAGGGCAAACATGAAAACTTCTAAATCACCTCGTTTATCAGAGTAAGAAGTAAAAAAAATAAGAATTCTATAACAGCTGCCTTCGGCTCTCTGCGCATTAAACAGAAAATAACATGTAAAATCAAATGGTGTAAATGTAAATGTTAAATGAAACAAAATAAATAAACACAAATTAGCAGGGTCCAAGTGTGATATTGATAACTGCTTTAAGGAAAATTTCAGGCACGAAGATGTATGTAAATCAGTAAAGTTTACCAATCTATCCATGCAAGCATTTCATAAAAATGATATTAGATTCCATGAAACGGTTGTTAGCCTGAATTAATAACAACCTTTTTTTTAATTGGATAGCTTTTCCAAATTGGATCAAGATTTCTTTGACAGTTCTTATATCCACTTGGAAAATTTGTCATTAGCAAAAGCTTTTTTAGAAAGCTTTTTCAGATGGATGCCTGCATTAGGAGTTGGAAGAATACCTCTAAAGGTATTGAGTTTTGCCAAAAATTCTCATTGCCTTAACTTCCATGGATGTTTTACACTTTTTCTTCAGCGGAAAATCACCAACTCAGAAAATGGGGGAATATCCCTACCATTTTAATTCTTGAAGCTCACCTCAATAAATTCACCCTTAAATTCTTCAGTTGAAACAAAAATCTCCACATTTCTCTCAAACATTTTATCTAGTGATTAAGCTAAATTAAGGGATGTGGGGGGAAATAGTTACTTCCTGCAGAAGACTGGCCCAAAGCTTACCAACAATTTGTAACTTGCCTTTAAAACCCACAGTCCTTTACTTTTCCCATAACACATGTTGAAACTCATTATAATATTTTGAATAATATTTTAATGTCAATAATGCCAACTGCAATTCAGTTATCATACACTTTTAAAGAAAAAATAATCAACAGCAACATTAGTGGTGACAATTTGTCTCCATTATGTCCATCATGGCTGTTCTTCCATCTTCTGTCTTACCAATCTGAATATACATACATTTTTAATCAGTTTTACCAATTGTGTCTCTATATATTTTTGACCATTATAATAAATTATTAGTTGTCCAAATTAGTTTTTATAAACATTTAAGCAGCAGATAGATATGTCCTTTCTTAGATTTGATTTTCTTAGCTTTGAATAGTGAATCGAACAGAGCAATTACCTATTTGCATTTTCTGAAGTTCATGTATCTGAATATGTGGCATTTGTTCATCGTTATACAATAACTTTCTGAATATATTCAAAAGTGTGCCAACTCATGTAGGTACCACAGGTTGCTATGACAACTGCTGGTAGTGAAATCTAGACTATTTATTTTCGCAATGTATATGCAGACATATACCTACCCACTTAAATGCATTACCTCTCCCTTATTGGGAAATTAGATAGATAGATAGATAGATAGATAGATAGATAGATAGATAGAT